AAAGTTTCAAACGGGGATTTAGTATTGGATCCATTTGTTGGAAGTGGTATGTATACTTAACATTTTAGTTAAATTGTAACTTATTAATGTGTGTTGTTAGGTTAAAAAAATAAAAAACAACTGTTTAATTTCTAATAAAATTGTTCACAATTTACAGTTATTATTAAATGATTCTTTTATGTATACAATATACATTATACATTTTAAATATTTATATGATTTATAAGTTATTACTAATTTTCATCAGTGCATTCTGTATTTATTTTTTATTATTTGTTGATCTTAGGATCTTTTCAGCCTATAATTCATGAAAAAATTGTTAATATTTTAATAAGTTGTTAAAACTTTTGTTATTTTTAGTTCAAGATAGCATACATTGAAGCATTAAATAACAAATATGTTAGTGTTGTACTTTAAGCCAATAAAAATATTTTGTTTTGTTAAATCACATATTGCACCTATCTGACTTAGTGTAAGAATACTATTGAGATGTATTTCATCACTTTAAAAATACATGTTTAATTTTTTAAGGGTCATTGTTAGTTGCTGCTGCAAAATTTGGTGGCTATGTAATTGGAACAGATATTGACTTCTTAATGCTTCATGGACGTACGAGGCCCACAAGAAAACAGACAAGAGTAATATATTTTTAACTATATAATGATTATTGATTAATATAACATGTGTTTAAACATCTTTTATAAAGAAATTTAGTGTCTAACTTAAGTATTATTATATAAATTGTTATAAGTTTCTTGTGGTGAATTTTTATATCTTTTCTACCTAGTGTGGCTATAACTTTTACTTATTTTTAAGGATGGGTTTCCTAACTTTTCAATCTATCAAACTGTTCAAAATTCAACAAAACTTTGATTTGAATAGTTTAATCGTAATAAAGCTTAAAATGTTCACAGCAGATTCATTTTAATTTTTTTTTTTTTGTAAACACTGTAACTTATTTTATATTATTAAATTGTTTAAAGTTTGAAAGTTTGAAAAAATTTGTAACTTGATCCCTCTATACTTATATTGTATTTATATTCATTATTAATTTATACATTTATTTTCAGCACATAGCTAGAAAAGATGAAAGTATTGAAGCCAATATGGTACAATATTCTTGTGTTGACAAATATATTGATGTAATTGTTGCTGATTCAGCTTTACCATTTTGGCGCAGTGACATAGAATTTGACTGTATCTTAGCAGATCGTAATATAAAATTTACTAAAATAATTAAAGATTAACAAATGAATCGAAATAATACAATTTTATTTTTTCCATAGCTCCATATGGTATTAGAGAACCAACTGAACGAATAGGCTCTAAAGAATCTTTACCTATTGTTAAGAAAGAAGGATCTCCTGTACATTTCCCATCCAAAATAGAATATGGACTAAATGAGATCATCAAAGATCTTATGTGGTTCTCTTCCAAACATCTTAAGTTACATGGAAGATTATTATTTTGGGTACCAGTATTTCGACAAGATTACAATGATGCACAAATGGCTCGACACAGTTGTTTTAAATTAATAGGAAATTGTGAACAGGTGTTAACGACATTCACAGCTAGGCGACTTTTGATTTTTGAAAAAATTAAAATGCCTCAAGTAAAATCAACATATTTTATACAGCATAAAATCAAATATTTATTTATTTTTATTCCAGGATACTGATGAATGTAGTTCTGCAATACCAACTGCTAGTACTTTTAGAGAAAAATATTTTACTCATGGTGATGAAAATCGTCTTACAAGGAAGGAAAAAAAAGCAGAAGCAGCTAAGAAAAAAGAAATTTGGTTTGCAAGATTAAATAATGTTAATGTGAACTAAGATCAAATTGTAAGCTTAACAATATTAAATAAAGTGTATCATAAGTACAATCCTTTTTATTCATTATTACTTTTTTAATTACTTATTTAGTAATTTAAAACGTATATGATTGACATTTTATCAAAACAATTTTGAAATAGTCAATAGTCTTATCATATTATTTTTGATCAACCAGACTATATTTTATCAATAATCTAAAATAACTAATGAAAAATTAACCCTAACTAAATATTATATACTGTTATACTGTTCATAAAATAAATTAATTAAATTTTAATTCAAGTATTAAAACAAATAAGTTCTTAAAAATCATCTGCATAAAATTACACTTTACTTAACAGAGTGCATAATATAATTACATCAATACTATGTTTAGTTATTTTTGTATCTTATATGACATAACAAAAACAAATTTACATAATATGGTTATTCATTAAAGAAAATAATATTTAGTGAATTCTACTCGTATAATACTTCACAAATATTTTAAAAAAACACACATACACACATCATTGTAAAATCGATACATTCATTACTCCACCCAAAATCTAAAAAGTATTACAATTTAAAGTTACAAAAAAATTAATTATTTATACTTGTGTTTATTTTATTCTATAATGTAATGAAAAAAAAGGTAACAGTATACTAAGCAATGGGTTTTCAACCTTTTTGGGTTCAGAGATCTTCTGATTTGAAAACTTGCTTGTAACAATTGATGACGCCTCAGGAATCAGTGATGTTCTGATTGAAAATCCCTGTGCTAAGGTAAAAGATGCTTAGATGCCTTATATTCATTAATATAGGATATTTAATATTAAAAAATCTTGTATTTGTTTTGATTATAAATTTTACAATGTTTCTATTGAATTAGAGTATTTACAGACTTAGAAACTACATTTGATATAAGAAATACCATTGACATAAATTTTAATTAATAGTTATGCTGTAAAATAATATACCACATTGAAATCTTAAAATGTAATATGTTTCTTCGGAAACGCCAATAACTCTGGTAGTTGAGGCATATTTTTAAATTTAAAAAAATCTATATATATATACCACATTAATATATATTTTGTCGTATTAATTGAATGTGAATTTTAATATTATTTGTGCATGCTATAATTTTTATTATATCTATTATTTACTACACAATTTGTATATTTAATGTTTTGTAAATGGCGTTTTTTTCTTATTTCAATAACAAAATAATAATAATAATAATTCTGTTTATATCCGTGTTCAATATTTTTAATCAAGTTCATACTTTTAATTTTAGATTCTGAGATTCTATGAATGAATTGATTTTTTAATGATATTTTTTTTTGTGTGTATACATATATGTTTATGACTTATAGTTGAAAAATGATTCGATCTTCAACTTGAGGGTGATTTCTAATAGTAATTTTACTGGACCTAGCTGTTACATTTTACTCAAACCTGATTTTCTTTAAAAAGCTTGAAAATTAAATTTAATACATAATATACATAATACATAGGTAACATTTGTGTTCCTCTTAGTTCATAGAACTTCATACTGAAACTAAAATATATTTTTTTTCAATGTATAATGACAATTTTTTTTCATAGACATTTGAAGTTCAAATTTGGAAATTAGATATTTTAACGAAGAATAACGATAAAAGTTATTTTGTCATAAATCAGAAATATTTATTTTAGGAACTAAACAATTTTTATGCCTATATTACTATATTTTATACACAATGATAATTTCAACATATTTAGATTTTAATCCTATTTATATTGTATTTATACAACGCTTACTATACTATCAAATGCCAAATGGCAAATGCCAATATAAACATTAACCATATTATCATAAAGTATACTTAATAGAATATGCTGACAGCGAGTATTTGCTCAGAATCGTTTTTGGTATTTATTTCGTTTTTATCATTGAATTTAAATTAAACATAAAAAAAGTACAATAAGTGTTTGAAATTACCCAGTACCTTCCACAGCTCTATATTTATATGTAAAGGCCCAAGCATAAATATGTATTCCAACCAAATAATTGTTAAATAATCAATTTGGTTTCTATAAATACAGCAGTCATTCGATAATTCAAACCTCAATAATTCGAAAAACTCCATAAATCCAACTAAACGCTAAGTCCCCTGAGAAAACCTCTATAATTAGAAAAAAAATACATGTATTCCGGTCCCCTCTATAGTTAGAAATGTCTGTTTGTGAGGCACACTCTACAATTCGAATTTCTTTAAACACGGTTATATGTAAATTCATATATATAAAGATTATGTCAAACTATTTATATGACAGGATAACGTCAATTTTTTGAGCAATCTGAAATGGACGAAAAAAGATGCGATACAATTTTCAATGGTATCAGTAAGTAAGACAACGCTATGGACCAGATTGTGGTCAACAATTTTTCACAAAAAAAAATAACAGATTTTTTAATAATATGCATAATAAATAAATATCAATTAATAATTTTATTTATAAGTAAATGTCAAAATAAACGTAATACATCTATAAAATTTTTTATCTCTCTTTAATTTGAATTAATTTTTCTCCTTCGATTATTCAAACAGTCGGTAAATAGAATTTTGAACTCGGTCCCCTGAATTTCAAATTATCTAGTGACTACTGTAATTATAACAATATACTTTATTAAAAATCAAATTGATCACCCCAGTGTGGTTTAATGATTAACCTGAGATGTTTACACTAAATTTAGCACTAATTATTAATCATTTATAAATTATTTTATATATATATTAAATGTTGAGATACCTATCCAGAATGATTTTTATAAACCATAAATAATTATTATACCAGTACTTGGACCGTTTCAATAAATTATTTAAATTGATACATCAGTAGTAATTACCAACATTTTCAAATCACCTAAGCTCCTCCCATATCTACTTAAGCCATAACCAATTGACACCAATATTAAATTCTTCAAAATGTATGTTTTTTTTTTCATTGAATTATTTTGAAAATTCTGTTTACAATTAATTGCAGAAAAAATTTTTGTTAGCCTATATTAAATCATCAATTTTGGTTAACTTTTACTGAAATAATAAAATGAATAAATTAACTATTTACTTGTTCAAACTATATTATAAAAAAATATAAGAGTAATAATTAAATTCAACAAAATATTAATTGTGTGCTTATAAAATACATTATTATAAGATCAATTTTATAAAAGAATATAATATTATGATTTAAAAAAAAAAAAAATGAAATGGTGAGGTTAATTCATTACATACTAATGAACTAATCAAGATCATTTTCCAATTAGAGTCTTACATAGCAATAAAACTATTAAGAGTGCTATAAATTATTAAATTTCATAAACAATGTGTTAAATTATTTAAAAACAATAATTTAGGAACAAAAAAATAAATAAATAAATATACATTAGTAATAATTATATATTAAAACATATCTCAACACGGCCCTATGTAATCTCTTTTCTTCTAGCTAATTTGTAAATCAGATTGACTAAACTAGTACGTTTATTTTGCAGATCATCTACATCCACTGGATCTACTTCGCGTATGTCTAAGTTTGCACAGACAAATTGCGCAACGTTTTCCGCGTTGCATATAAGGTGTATTCCACAGTCGTAACTATTCTGTTGCTGTCTTGTCGCCAATGGTGTGATGATGTCTACAATGTCTTTAAAATAAAATTTCAGCTTTAGTGCTAATTTTCTCGCCTGTTTCTCATTGGAATCAAATATTGAATCCATGTGGAAGATACGTTTATCTTGTGCCCCATATACTACCAGCGACCAATGAGTACCGCCGACCGTTTGCAATTGTTCTTGATCATTCAGCGGGAAGAAGATGTACGAATAGTTTTTGCCTTTGACCAATGGGTCGAGGAACACGGCGATGTCATCTAAGTTGCACTCCTTAATGCATTGCACTATTTCTGGGCTAATAAAATACACTTTTGGATTGTTCTTGAACACTTCGGTGTTCAGGTACTCCATGTAGAAACCGATGACAGAATCGTTTAACCATTGATCATCAACAAGCAAACGAACATCAGATTCGTGAAGGAGAAAATTCTCGTAACTCAACACTACTGGATCTTTTTCTTTTGAACTACTCATGGTGGTGGTTTTCGGTGAGAATCACAATTTTAATTAAAAAAAGAAGAAAAAATATACTTTGCCAATGGTCCGTACTAGGTAAAAAATAAACACAATTTACAATAATGATTATTAATATTTGACATATTTTGTTATTTGTTTATTCGCTAGAGTAACTAAGTTAACGTAAGGGTACAAACGATAATAACAGTAATAATGTAATAACGACGTTACAATGTTATTATTTATTTATTTATTATTATGATTTACATTTTACAACAATAAATTTAATAATGATAAATTGATTTTATGATAAACTCAGAACAAAAAGTAAACAAGAAAAACTAACAGTGTGTCCGGGTAAGAGAATAAAAAACTATGTTCGAACCATTGAAAAGTTAAAATTTTATTGTTCATGAAATATTTTTACCACAGAATAAATGAAATTTAAATAAATTTTATTTATTCTGTGTTTTTACATTCGACCATGTTCGATGAAGGTAAAAAGTTTTTTATTTTATATTTATTAGAAACATTTTTGTATCATAGAATTACTATAGGTGATTTTGAGCTTGATTTGCATAATGCATAGTCTATTTTAGCATGGATTTTTACTTAACTGTGTAAGACTAGGATTGTTTTGAAAAGGAAAAATTAATGAGTCAATCTGATTTTTCCTTCACACATTACTGTATGTATATAATAAACAAAAATGTGTGTAATTGTTCAGTAAAATTTATGTTTAAAAAAAATATCATTTAATCTATTCATATAAAAGTTTTTATCCATCGATAGTTACTGTATTCATCATCAATTGAACCATAGACATATAAATATTTAATATTTATGTGTCTGAAAATTGAACACTTTTTACTGTAAGTAACTAATCATTACTTTTTAGCTTTTTTATTTCTATTACGAACTTAAAAAGTAGGAGGTAGATAGGTACTGATGAACAAAATAAGGTGTTACGTCGAAATGATAATTGAAATGTACCAGAAAGTAAAAACTGATTCCTATACATATTATTTAAGTAATTTGTTTGAGTTGGTAGGTTTTAACCAGTGGTGTTATGTGGTAACCGGACAATTTGCCCCTGACAGTTTTTGGCTTAATGAGACATTTCCCCCCCCCCATTTTCTAAAAATTATTTTTTTCTCATAAAAAATATAAATTATAATTGTAAATGTAATTTGATACAGGTATTTACATAAAATATAAATAATAACTAATAAAAATGACTAAACAATTTGTATATAAGTAAAATATAGGTTAGGTTAAAAAAAATTTATAAAATATAATCTAAAAATGTCGAAATGAAAATGATATATTTTGTAAAAAACATTTAATTTCTGATTCTTTTGTTATATACTTATATCTAAGCAGTAAGCACATATTTCGTCATCTTTGTTCATACTTATTTTTTTTAATAATTCATTTTAAATTAATTCAATCTTACTAGCTAATAATACAGTATGCTAGTACTATTATTTATAAATTTTATTTATTAATTAGACAATCTTTTAAATGTAATAGCCAATAGGGAATTACACTAATTACAGTGTAATTGATTATATTTATGGAAAAAAAAATTATATTTTATTAAAAAAAAATAACTTCTCATTAAATAATAAATGATATTATATTATTAAATTGTAAACATAAGAAAAAAATTGGGAAAAATGTCTTACTATGCCAAAAACAGTCGGGGGGAATTTGTATACGTGTAAAATGTTTTGTAGCTAAAAACCCGGGTGGTCACCCATCCGGGAGCTAACCTCAGCACTTCTACGTGACTGTGGCCAGTTACTGCGTCACAAAATAGCACAAATATATTTTTACAATTCATACTAATTTCGGCTGAACCCGTTCACTGTAGTTGGCTTGAATTGTAGAATAGGCGTATAACATAATATATTAATATAGGTAGAAATAACTTTATATATACATTTATAAATTGTATACGGTATTATTTTTATTTAAAAATTTCGTGTTTGTACATTGATTATAAATATTTATAACCAATGTTTATATATTCTAGATATTTTAATAATTTAATATGACGTTACGTTGTACATAATATAACTATTATATAATTATTAACTATCGATATTTAACATCATAATTCATAATTTTAATTTTTAATCGCAATCTACTACGTGGAGTATGAACCAGACGTCGAAGTTCCAATAATTTACTAGTTATCACATTTTAAATAATTAGTTACTTGTTTGATGGATGACCTATCCTAAGCATCGTGGATTTTACTGATAAAACGTGATAATTGATAATAAAAATAAATAAAATACCTATTTCAGATCAATAACTGACAACTTGTAGTGTTATAGACTACTTACTACCACGGATATAGATAGTATCTATATCCGTGCTTACTACCAAGTGCTTGTAGTATTAAAAAGTATATACAAGTATTAAATCATGTTATAAGTATATTAAGTATGTCAACATTATTAACGGAATTGTCATATCGAATTTTGAACAAAAAATTAAAAGGGCGGTATGAATGTTTTATTTTCATTAAACACAAAGTCGCGTTATATTTGCTTCAAATCCATAAAAAATAGGATTGTAAACCTAATATGTTGGAAAAAACGGAGAACGATACAATATGGTATCGACGATAAATTTTACGAAAATGTTCAGTATTGTAGAAGGGATAGTGGGGCAGTGGCTACTCTGTCGATTTGCCGGATTTTATCAGTTTCACCGATGATGTGTTGATAACGTTTTGATAGCCACTGCTGTAACTGGGTAGGACGTCCTTCGAGGTTATTTGAAGTTCATTTTTGCCTTTTGGGCGCTAATTTTACTGTCACTTTTTAACGTACAATTTCATTACCAATTTAGTCTATAATCATACAGTATGTCTGGATCAAACACCATCATGAACAACGTGCGTCTGTTAAGGAACCTAAACAGGAATACGGTGAAAACAGTTACCACTAAATGTCCAATCAAAGTTATTCAAGCTTATAGGTATTTAATTGATTAATTAATTATTTAAGGTACTGAGTGGATAATAATTTGTTTTCCTCTTTGCGGTATTTAGGTGCCAGAGTTCCATTCATTGGCGCACTGGTAGACGTCCATCCGTAAAAAATGTTGGCTATCGTTTCTATGCCACTGATTTCCCAAGCCATATTAAAGTTGCTCTCCCAGCTTTGTCTCCTACCATGGAAAGTGGCACCATTATTAATTGGTCTAAAAAAGAAGGTAAATAACATACTTTATACTTTAAGAAAAAAATATCAAATTTTTCACAAATATCTTGTAGGTGAAAGATTAAACGAAGGAGACAAACTAGCTGAAATTGAAACAGATAAAGCTATTATGGACTTTGAAACTCCTGAAGAAGGATATCTTGCCAAAATCATAGTGCCCGCTGGTCAAAAAGATGTTACAGTTGGAAAGGTACATAATAATACTATATTATGTTACTATTTTAAGTATTTTACATTTTTAACAATTATGCAATATTGCAATAGGGTCATCTTGGGGATATACTAAAAATTGTGACCTTGCATTAGGGTCAAAGATATTATTAATTGGTGTATTAAAAAAATAATTAAGCAAATTTATTTCTATCACTAATTAGACTTCAAAAACGACATACTAAATAATTGTTGTATTTTTATTGAAACGTCTGTTTATAGGTTTAATTTGTTTAAATTAACAAAAAAATTTGATTTAATCAATTTACAACTCAAAGATAAAATAATAAAAAAAATTTAAAAAATTTTTATTTGTTTTCAGCTTGTATGTATTATAGTAGAAAATGAATCTGATGTTGCTGCTTTCAAAGACTTTGTGGACAATGCTCCAGCTGGTGCTCCTGCCCCTGTAGCACCATCACCCAAACCATCTACTTCTGCACCTGCTCCACCTCCTCCTGCACCTGTAGCTACAACAACTTCGGCACCGACTAAGTCAGTACCAATTCCAATTGGATCTCGTATACTTGCTAGTCCTTTAGCAAAACGGTTAGCTGCCGAGAAAGGATTGGATTTAAGCGTAAGAATTACTGAACTTATCTAATTATGCAAATTAACTTAATGTTATTTTATAACTAATAAGGTATTCAAATTTTAGACGATCGCCCAAGGTTCTGGATTGTTTGGTTCAATAAAATCTGCAGATCTGGACAAAGCTTCAATAGCCAATAGTCAGAAAACTGCTGTCGTTGATGGAACTCGCGGTGATGGATTTGTTGATAAGCCAGTGACAAATGTTCGAAAGATCATTGCAAAACGTCTGCTCGAGTCTAAACAGGTAATATTTACTCTTTTGTTGATCACCATTCACCAACATAACCCATATATTTTATGTTTATTTACAGACTATACCCCATTATTATTTAACAGTAGATTTGAACCTGGATAATATTGTTTCATTAAGAAAACGTATGAATGAACTTTTGGAAAAAGAAGGGGTTAAATTATCTATAAATGATTTCATTATTAAAGCTGCGGCTTTAGCTTCTAAAAAAGTTCCAGAAGCCAACTCATCTTGGATGGATAGTTTCATAAGACAGTAAACTTAACTGAAAACTTTCTAAGCTTGTAGCAAATAATTAAATACAAATATTGTTAATTGTAGATATGACGCAGTTGATGTAAGTGTGGCAGTGAGTACTGAAACAGGACTGATAACACCAATTGTATTCAATGCAGATACTAAAGGATTAATAGCAATAAGCACTGATGTTAAAGAACTTGCAGCTAAAGCCCGTCAAGGAAAACTGCAACCCCAGGAATATCAGGTATTTATTATTTCTTGGTGAATTTATATAGTTACCTTGTAACATGAGCCTAACTTGAACTTTTTCATCACAGGGAGGTACATTTAGTGTTTCAAATTTGGGAATGTTTGGTGTTAAGAGCGTATCATCGATAATTAATCCTCCTCAATCATGCATACTCGGCATTGGTGCTATTACTCAACGACTAGTACCAGATAAGACAAATGGAACCCGTGCACAAGATACACTGCAAGTTACATTAAGTTGTGATCACAGAGTTGTAGATGGTGCTGTGGGAGCACAATGGTTACAAGCATTTAGGCGATATGTAGAAGAACCACATAATATGCTTCTTTAAAACCGACTCATTTGTCCCAAGAACAATTCAGTCATAAAATGCTTTCCGTAATATTTTCTTATATCTGTATTTTTTTTTTTTATGTTATTTGTTATAAATAGTTTACATGTTATATTTATCAGTATATACTCTATCTGATTTTTAAGCACACTCTTAGTTGTTTAAATGCA